TTTTGTCACTTCTTCATAGGATTTACAACTCCCACAATTCTTAGTTTTGGTTACTATTTATTATGTATCTGCATTTACATTTTTCTCCAAATGAAATTAAAATTTTTCCATTCGACATAAGAATTCAAGATATAATAACTTTTTAAGCCTCGTAAACTTTCTAAACTTCTTCGTAGAATGTTATTAATATAATGCCTAATAACTTAAAATTTGCGTGCACTGTCTTTTTTTTTATTTGAAGGCTCATGTATTCATAAATGTCCATCTCACAAGTAATTCCAATTACTTTAATCATTTGAACTAGTAAAATAATGTGACGAGTAGACATAGAAATTCTTGCAGGAAGTTCGAAAGTAAGCAATGCGTCCGTTGCATTGGTTGGTCGTGGATGCTCGTGCAAACTCGACTTTTAATCTGATTTTCGTCAACGACGACTCGCCGTTTGGCAGTTGCCAGTCCGGTGAGGAGGCACAGTGAGGGGTTCTCGTATATTGGAGCAAACGTTGCATAGTTCGCGTCATTCGATGCATAGTTAGCCGGACATTGTGCTTGGCAAGTTTGCTCGCATATACATGGTGTTCCGTTTATAAATCTCAGGATAGTTTCCAGAAAGTAAAGCAATGCTGCGTGTTCGAAAAATACGTCTAAACGAAACTGATTAAGTGTTACATTCTTTACAATAGGGATTCAGCAATGGATAGCAAATACAAAATGAGTTCTGTATTAATTAGTAAATTTTTTATGCCACGATCATTTCAGGTCGTACTATTAAACATGGATGAATGCGCTATAATGTTTGCTATAACATACAACAACAAAAAATGTGTGAAGCACGAGTGACGAGTCTAAAAGTATCGATTTCAGACCTATTTTTCTTGGACTACTTTAATAGAAAGTGATGAGAGCCTTTTATAATAATGTTTGGCTATTACATATGTACGCAGTAAGTAATTCTGGTTTTAACTGATTCAGGTTAACATAAAGTCACCCTGTATATTATCGTGTCCAGCTATACTGGTTACAGAGCGTACCTGCGCATCTTCCTTCGAGAGTTTGCTGTGCTCTAATCTTCTACGAGACAGCTGCGCTATATCGAAGCGACATGCAAAGTGTATCCAGTATGCGAAATCGCGATGCGCCGAACAGAAATTAATTACAAGAAAAGAATAGAAACAAAACAGCGAAAAATTGTTTTCACGATTTTTAAACGTATAGTAAAATGTTTTATGTATAATGAAATAATAGGTGGATGTGCAAATTATAATGGTATCTATATAGTGTTAGATAAATATCATGATTTAATATAAAAAATCGGAATGAACTTGTACGTCCGGGTATATGCTAAGATACCCAACGAAAATCAGCGTGGATGGAGGGATAAAAGATCGACGAGAACGATCATAATCCGGAATTGGATATCGGAGAGTCTTCGTAGTCGGGCATGGTTGAATTTTGCCGGTGAGGCCTCGATGACAAAGACGGACCACAAAACAGAAAAACCAGACAAGTGTTTCTGCTGTTACAGCAGGGTAGAAATCCTCAATTTCACGGTTCGCTTGTTCGAAGAGCGGCAGTTTTCCTATCGCGCATCTCTATTCGTTCGAACAACTTTGATCCAAACCTACTACATCTTATGCTTTTTCTTTCTCTTTAAAATACGTTATTCTTTTGTTCTTCCACGTGCTATAAGCCTGGTAGAAAAATTCATACTGTTCCATCATTTGTAAATTGGAACGGTTTGTGATAAATCGTATACCAGAATTTACGTTTAGTTAGGTTTTTGGTCAAGTAGGAACAGATCTGGTAAAAAGGATAAAAATATCATCAGATAGAATGACGAAGTGGGGAATAACTACTATTTTTTATGAAGATCGTCTGTAAAGTAAAATAAATTCTGCATCTGCAAGCATTGCAAAAATCAAGTAGTTTATATTTGAAATTTGCATCCGTTGTAATCACTGAGCAGTCGGTTCATGCTTTCGATCCATCTGTACACATATATATGTACATACATGTACAAAGTACGCCTATACACAAACATACATGCACACGAGTGTAAACGTAATTTTTATTTAAAGTAGAACTCATTCTTGTTCTCTATTCATGCATTTTCCTATTTTTGCGCGCATAATGAAATAAATAGGTCGAAAGGTGTTCCATTTTCTTAAGGCGCTTCCAGAAGCGCAGAAACTTTTGAAAGATTTGTATTTTCCCTCACCATTTTGCGCCTCTTATAAACCTGCGAGTTATTAACTTTCCAACTGACCTGACGTTTAAGCGTTCGTTCGTTCGTTTCCTCGAAGAAAGCTATTTCTAAGCGTCATAAATAATCGAGGGTACGGCAGTGGCGCGGAGCTACGCAGTTACGAAGTTCAGTTTTTACAGTAAACGAATAAACAACCTCGGGCTGGGCTTACTTCTAAGCCCGTTCGTGCAATCGCTACACTTCTTCTTTTTCCAATTAGTAGTTAATTACTTTCTCCTGTGTTTTTTATTCTAGACGTCGGAATCGAAATTCATTAAACTTCGCTCGTGCTTAACGTCTTCAGAGTCAAATAGGTAAAATTAATTAGAAGAGGGATTGACGATATCACTGGCCATGTTCGAATCGATGTTCGCAAGCCTCGACCAACATGAAGACAGGAGAGATCGATGTTACGTTATCGATAACTGTCCTATATAATAGTGTCAATGATAGTTTCTAGACCTTCTCGTAACGGCTGCAATCACGGTCCTAATTGTTATCGATGAGATCAAAGAGCCAATTAGCAGTTCGGGGAATCCATAAGAACAGCAAGAATACGACTGACTTGTACGTCTTGGTCATCCTTCTAAATTTAACGTTAACAACAAAAGAAACTTAGACCCTCAAGTAAAACATCGATTGTGATATTAGAGATTTTATTCATTCTTTCTCCATATACAAGGTGTTTCCTAATTTTTCGGCAAACCAGCAAGAATACGATTGACTTTTGAGGTCTTGATCATCCTTCGAGAGTTAATGTTAACGAACAAGAGAATTCAGACTCTCAAGTAAAACATCGCTTAGGATATTACAGATTCTATCGAACATTTATATAAAGGTGTTTCCTGATCTTCGACAAGATTATGGGAGCGAGAGTGATCTACTATTGAGAATAAGAAAAAAATGTTATATTTTTATCTTTCTTTTATTTAAATCCATAGAATAAACGATAAAAGGAATTTAATTTTTATATTTCTTATCTGGAAACGATCAATAGTAAACGAATATATTTCATCGGGAAAAAGTACCTCGACCGTCACCCGTACGTTCGTACGACCGATTAATACCAAAGGGTTCACGAGGTGGAGGTTAACCATTGGAGCATGGCATTGTGTCCAGGTTTAACCGAGGAAGAACCCTCGACGTATAAACAGCCGATGTCAAACTTTCCATCGATGGATAGATAGATAGATAGGTGTACGTGTGAGCGTAGGCGACGACGGCGAGTAGGTATGTATTTATAGGTGACCCGTATTTCATTTAACCGAAACTATCGGGCCGCTTTGTCGACGGAGCGACGGCTTAATGAAGCCTCCTCCGGGTTAGCTTTGTTTCCACCGGAAGGTGGTAGCGTGTAAGTGTAAGGGGTGTCGGGAGACATGACAGGCGAACGATGTCCGAGATAATCTCGCGATTGCCCCCGAGGCTCCAATTACACCCTCGACACGACACCCCGCGTGGGATCTCAAGATTATTTCCTTTGCAAGTTTATATACTTCGTTTCGGAACCATCAGCCCATTCTCCCCCTTGTTCTATTCTACCTTTTGATCATCCTCTCCGTTACGACCCTAAGCACCGCCGGGGTGCTTATATGTATATACAATATTCTTCGTTCTGCCTTTATGTAATACGTGCAGAAGCACTTACACGATATCCAACGTGTTACATATTATAGTTGTAGTTATATAGGAATATCTAAATAGAAAGACTTTGTATTAACATTTATGGTAAAAATTAAATCGAAGAATCCTCTTCAACCCTCAAGGGTTCCATTTTCAAAAGTTCAGAAATTAGTTTCTTATACTTTCGTGAAGAGATATTTTGCCATCAGAAGTAATTTGATGTCTCATCAGATTGGAAATATTGCAAAACAAAGAGAAACAAACTTTACCCCATTGTCTTTTGCAAGGGTTGAATTTTCAAAAATCCAGAAATTGTTTTCAATACTTTCATGAAGTGATATATTACCATCAGAAAAGTTCGATGTCTCATCAGAATCAAGAGATATTGTAAAACCAAGAAAAAAACAAATTTTATTCCATTTCGAAAAAGGCTCCCCTACTGAGGACAGAAACAACTCTCAAAATTTCGAATAAATTTATATGACAGTTTTTGTTGGACGTTAATGAGTGATTCAGTCAATAAAGGAAGCTCTTTTATATACATACATATAAGATATCACAGCAAATAATAAGAATGCACGCATACACATATTACGTACTGTGGCATGTTTGTCGCTGAACATTATAAATCCTGGCTTTAGCGCATTTGAATATTTCCAGAATACATAGGTATGCGCGATTTATAAAATTCAACCGGAACGAAATATGGAATCTCGAACGATGAACATAAGCGTGTGAATACGAACGAGAAGTTTTCACGTCGACACACTACACACGTTTTCACTCAACGCGGAAACGCGTAAACCGCAAAACTCGAATTTTCCAACCTCGATTCGCACGCTGTGTTTTACGACTCGCTTTTACGCGAATGCGTGAACAAGATACGCGTACACAACAGTTTCGTCCATCAAATCTCACATCAAATACATTTAATACCCGTGTTATCGGTAATAAATCCTAATTCGTGCATATTTATCAGACAATGTCTAAGTTTAGTAACATAATTCAATAATGCAATCGTATAAATGAAAATTGTAAGACATTTGTTTGTTCGTGTTCTTTATTTTTGGCTTGGGGAGGGTATTAGGGCGTTCCCACACTACTACAATGTTACACTAATCACAGTTTTACAGTCTTTGCTTTTACAGTTTTTGTACTATCCATAGGAACTTTCACTTAAACTTTCACTTTCACGTATATTTGTAATTGACTCGTCGTATCTCTACTTTTAATTATTTAATCAGCATTTTTTCTTCTACATGTCGTTTCCTATTTTGCCTAAAAACCTAGCAATCTTTCTAATAATTTTATCATTACCTACATTTAATATTTTACTTATTTCTTCATGTTCCAATCGTATCCATAACGCGTTTTGAGTTAAACACGTCGCCATCTATCCGGTGGAGAGACAACTTGGCTAAGGGTAGTGATCAAGAACAGGACCTACAATATTTCAATACTAATTATTTAAGAATTGCAAATAGTTTACAGGTTTCATGCTTCTTGAATTATAAATTTTAATGGACTAGGAGGCATGCGATAATGCTTGTCAGCTTTCTAAAGGAACGGAGAGGTAGGTAGAAGTGTGCATAGCGGAGAAGGCGATCTAGATTGCAAACGACGGAGAACTGAAGGAAACGGCATCATTTCCGACGTACCGCGGCATCAAAGCCGTTCCAACGTTTCCGCGGCTCAGAAGAAGGAGAGAAAGCCAGCTGTTCATATCATGTCAGAGTAATTCGATGCACACGGGCGAGAGGGTGGCTGCTTTCCAAGTCGATGGATCATTCGTTCGGTTTCGCGAATGTATTGATCCGAAAATATAGACGAGAATCACTGCTCAAACACTTCCAGATGGCTGTTATACAAATTACCATTTTCAGCCTAACGTGCTTAAAAAGTTTTTCTCTGATGAAAAATTTTTAAATAACTACTATTTGCATTTGAGACTGCAACAAACAGTAAATATGGGCAGGTAATACTTTCAGTTTAATTTCGGTCTCTTCTGAATGAAATTCGAGCGTCATTGAATTATTATTCAATCCTTTCCTTTCAACTTTTAAGGTATGCGGAAACACCTTTATCTCTTTGTTCTGGTTTTCGTGAAACGTGGATTCTTGACTCGATACGCGCATCTACCACGTGTGAAATGTACTATGGAAATCGTGTACATACTTTCCATTTATATGGAACTCGATAGAAATTCAGTGGAGAATAATATTTCTCTTCGATTTTACCTGAATAACATTTTAATTTCAACTCCGATTTCTCTCTTTCATCCATTTTCGCTTTGATTGTCCCCCTATTCTTTATGTTTATGCCATTCGGTATCGATATAGTTAAATGTAATCGGATTACAAAATCAAATCTGACAAGCACCTGCTTTTTTCATCATCAAAAACCAAAACATTAAATGTCAGTCCAATGCTCAAATTTACAACAAAAGACGTATTACTAAAATATTTCAAAATCCTTTATACCCGAAATAATGAAATAAGAATAGGGACACATATTCTACAATTTTGAACAAACGTAAATTAAAAAACTGAATAGTCGTACACGTTACGAATTCATACGTGAGCTAATTGAAATTAAAAAATCCAATCGACGCGCGTGCTTCGATTTCGTATGCCGTTATCGTTTTTCGCAGAAAGACAAACGTGTGCGAAACACGAACACAATCACCGTCTGCAGCGGATTGCAGGGCATCAAGAAAACGTCGAAATGCATGGTCGTCGATGTTCCTCTGTGCACGAGGTCGATATGATATCGATCCCGGGAGGTTTCGATACCGCAGGATCTAACTAACGCGGAACCTGCGATCACACGGGGCAAGGGAGAGGGGGGGAGCGGAAAATAGAAACTAGCACTGGGATGGTCTTTGGACTTTAAAGCGGTCCGACCAATTTATTCGAGTAGTTCGAAACCCTTTTCCTCGTCGTTAACTCTTTGGAAATCGAGCGGTTCCATGCTACCAACTGTTCGACAGTATCGCACATTCTACAGAAACGGTGACGTAAATGAAAGATCTTTCGTCCCTGAGAAACAGCATATTGTATCTTCTTACTAACATCATAAAAAACGTTTAATGGATTAATTACAAGAAATTGATTAGAAACTAGAAAAATAATTGATAGCAAGAAGTGAATGTAATATCGTTGACGCATTTAATTAGGACTTATAACAAAGTGACACTTCCTACAAGCTATTCAGTTACATCGCAATTATGGCAACAGCTGAATGTACTGTATAAATATGTCTACTGTAGAGCTGAGTTGGTCGATCTAGTTGGTGATCAGGAGATATTCCAGTTGAACTATGAATTTTGTTGGATATAATTAAATCTTCGATTCATTACGCATTCGTTAGGATGGTTAGAATATCGGGACGTAATCTATAATAGGGCGAAAGGAGTGGAGCGTGGAGGAAGAAACGACGCGGGTAAAGAAGAGAGAGAACGGTCGGTGCTTAAGATAAAGACGGAAACCGACGTTGTCCGGGAACTTGAGCGTCAACAATTTCCGTCTACGTTTCTACTTTTTAATTAGAAAGCCGAGCGCTTGCGAGCCTCTGGCATTCGCAGTCCGCAGCGGGAACGACGACAGTCGACGCCGACGTCGACGACAGACACGGTTGACGAGGCTCGCCTCCGTCTCTCTTCTCTCTCAACCGCTACTCTCCTCTCCGCTTCAATCCTCCATTCACGCCATTTTTTGCGGTCTTCCCATTACCGAGATTGTGTGTCTTTCGCTTATTCTCCCTTCGTTACGTCTTCCACTCTCTTCGGCCTCGGCAACTTAACGATCTCCCATCCTTCCCTTTTTGCCCGACGCATCTATTCTTCTTCGTCTAACTCCTCCTGGCCAAGTCGTTTGGACGTCACGGAATTTTTGTTCCAATCCTTGTTGATAAGTATGATGAGATACGTGTAATCAAAAACACGTACCTCCGAGTCTATGATCCAATTTACAAAATATTACAACCATTCTTTAACTACGTCTTTTGTCAAAATAAGAAAGGAACTGATTGTCAAGTAGAACAATTTGGAATAATCAGTCTTGATCTTGTGGTCACGGTGAAGAATCACGGTTAGCAATTTCGAACCGCGGTGAAGGACCCCTTTTATTTATGATCGAAATATTTCCTTAGTTTTCAAAAAATTATATAAACTCATTTCCTCCGTCCTTCAAACTTTTACATTGCTCACGTTTTATCGTAATGTAAATACGGAAAAATAGCAATTTACACGAAGCACGAGGTCTAAGAAAATACGTTTATATAATTTCCTCATTTATTAATGTTTTTCAATTAAGTAAGAATGCATCGCAGTGTAAAACGGCATAAAAATGCGACTGCCTTTTGGTTTATCTTATTTCCTGCATATCATAGTCTTTAGTTGTAATTTATCACTGGCAGCGGTAGAATGGTAAAAAGTATATGTAGATAGTAAATTCACTTACCTATAACGTATATATGTTCTATGCTAATGAGGCATTAAGCACGATGATAAGCCGCCGGTTTCCAACCAGGTGTTAAGACTATTCAGTAAGAGCGTTTCAAAAAAATTGTAAACCTATATGATGAGAGTAGAATGATTTTGTATTTGAAACATGTGTGCGTACATTGAGGAACGTGAGGGGTAATCTTAATATCATACAAATAACTAAAACGTCATTTGCATAACTAGTTAAATATTATCTTGTAAACATAATACATTTCATTAATATTCAAGTTTATTATTCAGTCCAATACCTGATTTAGCCGTAATACGTGAATATAATCTCTGCGTAATAATGAATATTTATGTAAAATCAATGTGCAAACGTGCGACACTATTTTACAATTATTGCAACTGTAAGACGTGCGTAAATTTCAGACTACGAATTTCCGTTCCACGTAAAACCATTTTAATGCCGTAAGAATCTCTTCTGTTCTTAAAATATCATGTGCTTCCTTTTTCTTTTAATAAGCGCATAATTTATGCCGTCCTCGTTACCGAAAGAAAATTTCCCACCGGAAGGTTTTAAAAATACAGAGATTTTCGATATTATTTATACAATTTCGTAGGTTTTTCGCAGAGTCGTAGAATAAAGCGAAAAATTAAGGGTCGAAGTACGTATAGCTATAATAATGACAATTTAATGCGGGCAATGCATATTTAAAAAAGCAACAGATGCTCAGACTTGTAGTTTTTCATTTTCGACGTTTCGTTACTCAGAGCTGACAGGATTAAGTTCGTTTAAGTGCTCTCAAATACGTGAAACCCTCGCGGCGAAATATGCGACGTCGCGTCGCCCAAGGGGACATCGTCGAAATATCTCTTGCGAATACGTCTCGCTAGTGTTTTTTGTGCCGGGACCCTGCGTCTCCAATTAAGGGGTTACACGCGAACGTGCTCGAGAAACGACGACGCCTTCGCCCCGACCCCGACACCTACGTGTTCGAAGGACCCTCTTGTTTACCATAGAAATATTTCTTAAAATATACATACATACATTTTTAAATTTTTATGTATTTCAAATGTATATACATTTTTCAAATGTTATTATTTCATTGCATAAAGAGCAATGAAATAATACTTTTTTAATGTTCAATCAGTATTTCATTCCCACATATGTATTTTACGTACGCTGCTCAACTATGTATAGCGTTGATATGTAAATTGTACATAAAAAAATCATTTGTTGTCATTCATTTTTGTTAATGATTTTTGTCAATCGTATTTAATAAGTGGCATTAGAATACTTTTGTGAGTCACTCCTATACATATATGTATTTATTATAATAAATGTACGGGACGTCGACTAATCGTAAGAAATGTCATTACTGCACTGAAGGGGGGTGAATAAAATATTAATATTAAATAATGTCATGTAGCATTCGAATACTTTTGTGAGTCATTTATACATATTTATAATAAATGTATCATAACTACTACCAACATCCTTAAACCATTTTTAAATAGAGACATAATCTTCACACTTCGCTCTTACTTGAGATATTCAATTGTTTTAAATAAATTAGTTTAATATACATTATTTTTTTCATTAAATTTTTCAAATATAAGCGTTCGAATACTTTCATGAGCGACTTTAACCGTGATAATACACGCGATATAACAGCGATGTCAGTCAACTTTTTCCTCCGTGCGATACTCAGACAAGAAGTCTACCTTTTCGTGGAAACTTTAATTAATTCTCTAAACATTCTGACATTGATAGGCACATCTATAATCATTCCTTCAAACCGTGATTTCTTGTTTCCACTTAGACTCACATACTTTATACACCATATTCACTCATCAGACTCTACTCGCACATTCTGTCAAAAAAGTTTCAATACGTAACGTCGCGTCGTATAGTGAATTTCGCCAGTCACGTTTCCCTGTAACACGCTTCAGTCAAATTTTTACAACTTCCCCGGCAGCATCGAGGCTGGAAATATTCCGTTAGGATAGAATTTAACGAAGTCGCATATCCGTTCCAAGTCACGGTGCTATTGTTATCTACATGGAGTTAAGTGCAGTTAACCAGATATTTTAAACGAGTACCGTCAGCGCGCCCTTAAAAGTTGCTCGGACTCTTGTTAGGGAACTTCTTGGGAAGGTCGTGGCGTGTTCGCGCGCGCGTGTACCAGGGCCACCGGCTACGTGCACGTATACGTGTGTACGTACCTACGTGCACTTATGTTAGATCCGCACGAAGTAACCGAGCTAATCAAAAGTTTTCACGGTGCATGAGCAGCAGCTACGTAGCCATGTGATGTAGGCATATCCGAGGGTAGGGATCGCAAGAACCCGCTGGCCCATTGTCAGTCGATTCGCTTCCCGGATCTCATTTGCTCGCGGCGGAGAAAAAAGGAATTCTTTCAATTTCGATCGCGAATCACGATCCGACCACGATTCGCTACGTGCCTGCGATCACGTAACCGCATGAATGTAACTAAAGAACCCATCGAAACTTCGCGGAATCGAATTACTCGGTTAATCAGAAGATGAAACTACGCTGATACACTTTATACCGAAATACCGAATTACTTCGAATGGTCAGATGTGTAAAATAAATGTAAATAAACAGGGAATTATATTGTAAAATTGTTTAAGAGAAACTCTTTTTCTATTTACAATTTATTTTGATGCATGAAACAACTTTTTTGAGTTCGGGAATTCATTTGTTGAAAAGTTTGACGTATTTTCTGAACTTTAGGATGATAGAAGTATTTTGAAAGCTTTTAATACGTTGTGTAAAATTTACAACGTGAAGAGACCGCGAAGTCATTTTGGATCGTGCGTACATTTTATTGCTATTTTTAGTTAAGTTTGGAGAAAATAATTGCGAAACGATTTGAGGTCAAGCGGTATAATTTTTAAGGTTGTATAAGCCTTTAAATAAGAATAATAACGAATCATTCAAATTTAGAACAGCATTGAATTCTGCCCTGCCATAGAACTAATGTCATGCTAAAGGTTAGAAGATACATAACAATTTTTGAATACTTTTTACTAATTACCTTCACAACGAATCAATTCTTAAATTCAAGAACATTTAACGTAGATTTATTTCCATTTATCTCCTGTTGTATTTAAGAAACTCGATTTTGGTATTTAAAAGAAAGATTGAATGGAATCAAAATGAATTTTCAGTAAAAAAAAAAGGATTCCCAGAAACGAAGTTTAGTTTAAAATTCTTTAAAGCAGTTAAACTTGACGTCATACATACCGTGAAGGATTGCGTGAACACGCTGGGAACTCTGATAGACCGAGGGAGTATTCTGAACAATTGACACAGAGCGTATAATTGAACAAACTATATTATAAACACACGATCCGTATCGCGTTTGTCACCCGTTTATAGTTGGCAACGATCGGCGAATATGCGTGCAGTGTCAGCCGGCGTGTATGCGCCGAGCCCGTCCTGCCTACGTACCAAGGATAAGCCTGTGCAAATAGTGACATTAATTGTCTACGCGTCCGTCCTATTTGCATCCCATTATTCAGAATAATTGATGACTATTGGTAATCTATGCGTTGAAACTCATTACCATATTTAACGTACCGACGCGTCGTTTCATGCATATACCGTGCACGAGTCAGCCACTACGAACGGAGCCCTCCCGACAGATAAAAATATCCGATTAATCGCTTCTCAATAATTTACGTTCAGCATTTTATACTTTGTCATTTTTAACTTTTATATTGAACGTTCTACTATTTTCGTATTACTGTTTCGCATTGTTACTCAATTTTAATCAGTTGTATTATTAAATTAATTAAATTACTTTAAATTATATTATATAATACTTATTATTAAAAGTATAAAGAAATGGA